ACGATTTACATTTCTGTTGAAATTCGTACAATTTATGGGTACAATACCTTGTGATATTATACAACGCATTATTTGAGACTTTTATTTTAAAATTGTTGTTTTTGTTCAGAGTTTCAAGTATGTTATAAAATCAGAGTTTAATCAATAGGTACAGTCATTAATTATTCCCTTATTTTTTTTTTCAAACAAAGGTTATAAAGCCACCTGTAATATAAATTAACAAATTAATTTTTATTTACTTTCCGAGTCAACGGAAAAACTTAAATCTCCAAGGAAAAAATTTAATAGAAATATTTCAAAAATAATATTCTATATATAGAATACGTAATACTATATATTTATAAGGTTTTTTAATACACACACGTACAATGTACCTRCATTATATACCTACATTCCAACAATTTCAAACTATATACTTACAGAAGTGAATATAGTATTCTTCTGCTGAAAATGATTGTTTTATCGACTTTTCATAAAACAATAACAATACTAGTTAATATTCAATGTATATAAATAGTAAAAACATATATAAATGCTTCGGGCAGAAATCCATTTATTTAAGTGCATTGCGATTCAAAATGTGAAAAAGGGTCCAACGCGGAAAGTATAAATATATTACCTAGCTCCAGCGTCTAGTTGAATACCTATCGAATTAATTGWGTGTATAATTTTATGATCGATAATTATATCTAATCTGTTGGCGTGACATTGTTTGGTCGACAGGTGTTTGGGCGACACGAGGAGATCCGGTACAGGAAACACGTGCGTGTGGTGCGTGTGCTGCTGATCAACGTGATCGTGGTGCTAGTGATGTGGCTGCCGATAACTGTTGTAATGTGTCTGATCTACGTAGACGGCAGCCGGGACACGGAGGACACRGGCTACTTCCTGCGGTCGCACCACTTCATCATGGGCCTGCTGTTCGCGCTGCTCAACACGGTCGTCAACCCGATTCTGTATGGCGTGCTGTCCGAGAACTTCCGCAAGTGTTTCGCCCGGCTGTGGTTCATATCGAAGCGCCGTCGGGCCATGCACAGGGAACTGCTGGACAACGCCAGCAAGGGTGCCCGGACCCCCAGCAACGGCCACTATAACTCGACACTGCAGCCAGGCAGTTCGGCGTCCGTGGTCGAGCTGCCGGCCACCGCGGTCGCGTCGTCATCCGCCACCAACGAGTGTTGGTGAGATGCCGACGTTCAACCATCCCATCCCCTGTCCGTGAAGTCAACAGAACGGAACAGAACTGCAGTCACATAAAATGTCATTATTATTATTTTTTATTATTTATTAGAGCCGCAACAACTAAGGTTATTGGCATATTATTATTATTATTATTATTATTATGTTAGTAAATTATAATTTCGTAGGTAGGTAAGTACCGACTCTGTTAAATATGACGACTTATAACATACCATCCCTTATTCTTTGTAGGTTTAAAAACGATGTGAGATAAAAACATACCTAGGTTACCTATATTATGTAACTGTATTATTAGCGCAAATAATGTATAAATCAACGAACTCTTCCAGTACAACTACAGGCTATAAGTAGRTACATGTACATATTAATTATTATTACACCACTTTACCTCCAACCTCTAACTGACTCATCCCAGTAGTTCAGTGCATACCTGTATTAKATATATATATAWATRTGTATGTGGATTAGGCCAAGTTTAGGCATTGATGGTGCCTAACCTGACCCGGTCACTTATGAAGTATTATGAATTATAGCACAATATGCTGATAATATTTCGTTCCCGATAAACTGCAGCCCCGAGTGGAAAACCACTCCCCCCCATCCCGCTCTGGAAGCACGCCATGACATCGGATGATCTCACTATAATAATTTAATGTTATGACAATATTATTACAATGTAAATATTATTATATAAATACCTTRTAGACTTACGTTATATACACCTATTACCTATACAGTATAATACCTACATGTTTTATAATACCTACTAATATAGTGCCTATAGGTAGGTACACAATAACAATATTATACTAGTTATTACTTATTAGTAAGTATACCTGTATACCTACGACCTTATTCCGTAATTGTCATACGTTTATCGATTTCTGTTATTATTACTATTGTCCTATGACCTATTGATATTATTTATTTATAACGTAATTTTTTAGTTTTGTAGAAATGTACGTATTATTTTTTTTTACCATAATTTTTTTTATATACCTATATGTTTCTTTTTTTCAAGAAGGCACTACAATATATTATTATAACTATGTGACTATTTATTTTTTTAGATTAGTGTAGGTATGGTTATTTAATTGGATTAACATAAGAAATGATGTACCAAAGTGATTTTTTTATGATGAACATGTTATTTTTAGAAATCACACGTGTAACACAATAAAATTATGTTGTTATAATTTATTATCTAAATTATTCATATCGAATTTTTTTTTGCAAAATTATTAACTGAAAATCTGTAAGAGACACATATACACTGATACACATAAACAGTAGGTTTATGACCTACCTTATGAATATATTTTACACAAATTAAACCACAACTTATGTAATTCTAACAGATTTACGGTAGGCTTTAACGCTTAATAAAACAAAAACATAATTTTATTTTTTAATTTACAGTTAGGCCATATACATGGCTATATTTAAACAAAATGTGTTATATAAGCAACGTTAGTCTTCAATTCATTTTTGACCACTAACCTTATTATCTTGGTCCACGCTCTTACATATAAGATATAACATAATTGTTTCAAATAAATGTAATTAATATTACCTAATAATTTATCAATGTATTAACACTAAAAAACGTTTCCTTAGCTCTGAGGCTATTTCGTGACTAAATTATTTATTTTTTTAAACTAMCTATTATAATAGTAAAGGATCCCTAGTAAAAAATGCAAACGCCTGCACAATTATTAAGTGTTAAATTAAAATCGCTATAACAATGGAATATATTTACATATAATACTATAATTTTGGTTTTACCTTTRAAAAATTGAAGAACCCCCCTCTCCTACCACCACTACAACTTCTACTCTTTCACATGAAACAKAACTATTTACCAACAAACAAAATTAACCAGGTCCTATACCTATGTATTAATTTGGTTAATTTAGCTTAATATTTAARCAACTAATTGGTAACCTTACCAGGTCGGTTCGGTTACGTATCGCTGGTATATTGAACGTGTAACTTCTTGAACACTCAAACTTAAATCAACACTCCAATTTTTTCTTGAAAATGTTGGTAGTATCTCGCCATCAATACGAAATATTCTAGTTAGGCAATTTAGAAATAAATGAATAATACTTTCCAAAGWAATTGATTTCACGAAAAATAAAAACACTGCATTTTTCGACATCAAAATTGTTAATGCCAGATATGATTTTTTTACCATGAATTACTCAGTATTTCAAAAAGTATTAATGTTTTTTAAAATATTTTTTTATTATACCTAAGTACTGGTATTATAGGTTACCACGGACTAAGATATATAGATATCTTAGTCCGTGGTAGGTACCAATTAGCAGTATTGGCAGTAGTATTAAATATAGGTACTTTATTGTATGTATATATATATAATTTTTTTTAAATGTAGTTGTTGTTTTATATAGGACGAAACTCCTTATGAATATTACAAAGTTATAATGTGTTATCAATTAAATTCACTTTTATAATGAAACTCGATGATGAATAATGTAATTATTTATCATAATTATAATTACCTAGGTACCTACTATATGTGATGAAAATGTTTATTAAAAAAATTCTATTTTGTAATTTTCACATTGCAATATTTCATACATATCCATATAATTAATAAAGTCAGTTCAGAAACAAAATATTATATTATGAATAATAGTATTGTACCTTTGTATACTTTAAATAACTTCATCGGTGTTTCAATATTTTTTAAACTAAAATTAATCATAACCTATACATARTGTAACGAGGAACTATTTACAGTAGCGCATTTTATATTGTTTTAACCAAAATATGTTATAGTTACTGGTCACGCCATAAAATATATTGAACTTACTATGAAAGCATATTGGATGATACTATTAATTATAAAATCCTCATAAATTCGAAATTTGTTTATTTTTATGTTATGTAGATTCTTTTATTTCTATTTAAAATTAAATGCTGTATTTATGAGAAAAAAAATCACTCTATACCTATTTATTAAAATGCACTTCAAAGCAATAAAGACATGATTTGTATACTAAAAGATATTAGACAACACTTAGTGTTTCAATACAAACTTAGATACTTACTTGAGATATGACAAACTATTCGGTTTGAAGATCTAACTAGATATTCCAAACAATCGAACCGAACCAAATACCTAAAACCTAATAGTATAGTTTGAAAATCCRATCAAAGAAATAAAAAATAAATATTAAACATCAATCAATGTTAAATAAAATAATATCCAATTTTGACATTTTTAATGTTTGGTTTAATGAGTTTGATAAAATATTTGAAGATTTCAGTTCTGTTCATGTTTCAATAAAAGTGAGTAGGTTAAGATCTGTTTAAAGGGATTCGATACCGTGATTTTCTGTCATTGTCTGGCACATGCCCGTCATAGGACTTTAGCCGTATTTTTTGCCAAACGTACCGATGGCTATAGTGAAGCGATAAGAATTATAAAAACAGATTTGAATTTGTCATCAAATCTACTTGAAATCGAATTTCCTGCATTTTTGATTTTAGATTTTAACTTCAACAAAAAAAAAACGACAATTTTTTAATATAACATAACATTAATTGGAATATGGAAAACAATATCGAAAATGTTGAATAGTCGATCTCAAGTAGTCTTGACGACAAATTCAAATCTGTTTTTATAATTCTTGTTGCTTCACTATTTCCATCGGTATGGTTGGCAAAAAATATGGCTATAACCTCATATCCTATAACGCACATGTGTTAGATAAAATCACGGTATCGAATCCCCTTAAGTTTGTTAATTTAAAGAAGTTTGATTGAACTTCGGTTTAACCTTAAATATTATGATTTGGAATATCTCTATTACTTACAAGTTTACAACTTATTTATTCATTAATCATTAAACTACCTACATATTAAAAATCTAGTTATTCCATTTTGTTAAGACAATTAAAATATTAAAACATTCCTTAACACTTAGTACATTTTTAAGCTAGTCTATTGTCTGGCTTCACATTTTATGGATATAAATATTTACCATTGCATTTAAATTTATAATAATACATCATCTATTGTATTTCGTCATCAACAGACCTCACACAGTTTAGAATTGTGAAATGGATTTCAAACTGAATGCACCATATGAAAACAAAACTAATATTTATGGTACGGATTTGCGGGTAGAATGATTTTCTAAAAATACTAATAATTAGAGGCTTAAAATTAGATTGGAATTTTTCTTGAGAAATTGTCATGAGGTTTTTCATGTTAGAAATGACGTTGTGGTGCTGGTCTGATGATAATGAGATAGTGCATTGAGCCTGTTGACTTATGGATGGATTGAAGTAGCACAAATTGTGCACCATAATATTATATAAATACTGAATATCATTAATTTGTACTGACGCCGAGTCTAAAAACGGCTCAACTACACAGATCATGATACAGTTAGTTTTCAGGCTGAGGAAATCCGAGGAAGCCATCAAAAATGTTTTAAACATATTTTAGGTGTAACAAAATATTGCAATATCATGTAAAGAACAATATATATATAAAGCTCTTTGTGGACAAYCGAAAAACAGTAAAACAGAGTATGCAGTCAAATTTTGTTTGACAATTTATGTTAATGGAAAACTAGATACTGAAAAAAAAGTTTTGAATTTAGTTTATGGCAACATCTATTAGGTCAATGCCCTTACATAATTTTACTTATTCTTGTATTTTGCGGTAGAAAGATTTCCAAGCAAATTTCATAACTAGAAAGTTTATGGTACCAGTACTGTTTCACTACCAATGATTGTGTAAATCTATATAAACCACTTCATTAATGGTAAAATTACCCAATATTATGATAATTAGAAGCTTAAATCGAGGATGTCCCCTAACTAGATTACTTTTTCTACCAGAAGAAATAATGTCATAGAAAATCTAATTACTTTTACAGCTCTAAAAGGTTGACGACAGACAAAAAATAACATGTATTATTGTAAAATCAAATCAATACATTCATCGCTCTTCTCAGAATCTAAAACATTGAAATCAGGACAGTAGTTTTTTTTTTTAAATTAAATGCATGTAACTAAATAAAAAAATTAACTGTACTGTAAAAATAAATATTATTTATAAACAGCATTTCAGTATACATAGAACAAAATATTTAATTATAAGAATTTTATCATAAAAATAATTACATTTTAGCTGTATAAAATATACTTATTTATATGGTTCCAAGTGACTAAATCTTAATTCATACATCTCTACTTAGTGATGTTACCACCAATGCTTCGTGCTGGGCTAGAAGATGATCCTTGTAGTACTTTTCTTGAAAGTCGCATCATTCCTGATACAGGATCTCGGCCAAAGTACTTAATTTGAATCTCATGGCCTTCTTCTATACCTAATGCACTTGGATGACTTATCTAATTGTAATATAAAGTTATATCATAAAAATGTGTTAAATAAATATTGTTAGAAGAATTTAATTGTAAAATGGTATCATTATTGTCATATACATTAAGTACTTTAAAATKTATTTACTTTTCTTTGATCTAATTGAGAATTGTGAACTAAAGTTGGCTGCATAGATGGATACAAAGTGACCATCACTCCAATTTCTCGTACTTCAACTACTTTTGCTTTATAAATAGCTCCAAATTCCAGCTGAGGTTCTGATTTTTCAGCCATAAGCTTATCAACAATTTCTTTTGCTTCATCTAATGCATCTTGATTAGGTGCAAATATTGTGAAACCATCATTTTCACTGTTTGAAGAAATCTTTAGAAAAATCAATATTTAATAATAYCATGAGACAGATAACTTACATTATTAATCAATGATTATTATTACTTGTGCACCAGTTTCTAGCATAATACGCTTTAAATTAATTCCTCCAGGACCGAGCAGTTTACCTCTCTTATGTATTGGTACATTTAAAACTTCTGTTACTGGCCAA